TAGGGTTTTCTGCCTAGGCAGGGGGTTGGACTAGAAGACTTCCAAGGTCCCTTCCAACTCTGTTATTCTGTTATTTATTTCTAATGTATTAAACACTGGTAAAAATGCATTTATTTTCATGCAGGCAGACATGTTGTTTTATATAGTATTCAAAGGGCAACGCTATCATGGAACCAACCTGTCAGCATAGTAATGAGTGGAAGGCTATGTTCTTCAGGATTTCCCCAATAACCAACTTCCCCAAGAAGATTTCTCTCCAATACTTGATGGTAAAGTTCTTCAACCCAGGCCTGAGAAAATACCATCAGAACCCCACTGGATTGGACCTGTTTCATGAATTCCTTCTGCAGAATGAAAGAGCATTCATTTTGTCAGTAAGATACAGCTAGATCAGAGCTGTCAAACTGTGCACAGTGTAGCGAAGGGAGGGGGGGGGGAGTCCCAATACGTCATGTGATGCTGTCAGGAGTTTGACACCCTTGAGCTAGATATATTGTTTCTTTCTTAAGTAAATTTACACACACAAATGTGACATACAACACCCAACAGAGATAAAAGTATAGCTATGTTTACAAAGTGAGCCTCAGCACCCCACCACCACCCTCTCTTGCCATTTTGAGGTAATATCAAATTATACATGAGCACTGAGTGTTAGTTTTGTGTGCTCCCCTCTTTCATTTTCTCTCACTGAATGATTATTTCCTTTTCTTTAGGTTTCTTAGCAATTTAGTCTTTGGCTGAACTCAGGGCACTATGACCTTCTGTACATCAAAAAAAGAATGGCCTTATTGTCCCTTTCCCTGGGTTTGAATTAGGAAGGAAAGGTTGCATTCATTTTTAATTTTGGATTTATTTTCTACTTTTCAAAAAATCCTAAACCCTAAACCACTGAAACAGAGTAAACAGACATCTTAATCTCTATGATATTTCATGCATCCCTCTTCTTCAAATTCATGCAGCTATGTTCCGTGTTTCAGTAACTGATCTCTGATACAGTGACTGTGATTATTCTGTTCACACTCATGAGCTGAAGAAAGGGTAAATCTGATCATTGACCTGGAGATTTACAGAGCGGGATGTGGCCAAGTGCAACATGTTCATCACTGTAGGGGTCAAAGCAGGCTTTGACCTCACCAATAATACAGGGGACTGGGCAGGTTTCTTCCGATAGTATTCTGCGTTTGACAGCTTCAGGTTCAGCAGGAGTATGTAGTGAGAGACTGCGTAGAGGCTATCTGCGTTCATCAGGTTCTGGAAGTTAAAGCTGACATTCCCTTCAATTCCTGGAGAATGCATCATGTCTAATTAAATGTAGAGAGATGGGATTATGCACAAGAACCAAGTTTCAGTCATTTTTTAATTCGTAGAAAATAATGATAACTTGCACTGTTGAAACCGTCTAGAAAAGAGTAAAATGGCTGGAGTAATGGCTACAGTGCTGCATTGTGTAACTTTGGGTTTAGTGATGGTTTTCTGGATAATTTTAGATGGGGCTCTGTTTCTCTCAAGCACATGCACCAATCTCCCACTAGCAATATGATAAAGAAAATCAAAATAAATAATTGTACTGACTTTGCATACTACCTATACCTGTGATGGCGAAACTGTGGCATGCATGCTAGATCAGCATTGTTTTCCTCCACAGGCCAGCCCGGGGCGGAGGCGACGGGACGGACACCTCCTGCAACACCCTGCCATCTAAAAGGGGGCATGGGATGGCCACCTGTGACCTTCCTGTACCCCATTTTTTTGCCTGGATGGCCTCCTGCAGCACTTTGCCGGCCAAAACAGTGCATGGGGGTGGGTGGGGGTGAAAATGGATGTGGTGGGGCTGCTCATGCCCCACCCCCATGGCTCATTTTGGCTGGCAGAGGCACCGTGGGCTAGTCCTTTGTTATCTCCAGGCCAGTCCTGTGGGCGAGATTTAAGCACCCCGCAGGCCGTATCCAGCCCATGGGTCTTGAGCTTGACACCCCTGTTCTAATACAATATAGAATATCAATGGGAAAGTAAGTGAGCAGCTTACAAACCTGAACAAAAACTTGAGGAAAAGTTCTGGAGAGCCAAATCTACCTCTTCTACTGTAGCAACAGCTATAAGATGAGGAAGGAGAGTTTCAAGAGACTGAATAAACAACCTGGCACTTTGCTGATCTGCTTCCTGGTTCTTAAGTAGCTTCAAGGAAAGGGCAGCAGTTCGTAAAGACTTGTGACCCGGACAGTCCCGTGGCGTCTGTTCTTCATCAGCTAAAGAACAGTTATCTGAACCTATATCCGACACATCTGATCTTCCAGAATCTTTTTCTGCTGCCATGGAATACTGGTCACATGAATCAAATTCAGTTCTGGAAAGATCCTGGTCTTCAACACTGAAATTACTCTCGCTGTATCTAGATCCACACGAACGGACCTTGCAATCAACAGAAAGGAAATTAGTTATATCTGGATAGACAACATTATGGCTCCGTTGAACTACATCCGGTTGGTCAATTGTTTCTGATTCTGGCTCTTTATAATGAATTTCTTTGCCTGCCTGTCCAGCTGGGGATTGCAAAGAATTTTTACGAATGTCAGAATCTGGGGTTGTCTGTCCCATATCTCCTTCCAGGGTTGTCTGACCGGTATCTGTGGTAACACTAATACTAATGTCAGGACTCTTCTCATGGCCTGGCTCCCAGGGGGCATGTTCCGATGACAGGATACGTCTTTGCCACCTAAAATCAGCATCGTTGATCTCCATGGAATCTCTACTGGTCTCAGCCCCCTCTTTTAACTCGTCCAGCCTCCGGAGAAGCAGATGTACTTGCTCCTGATCAAGGCCCTTTCCTTGACTTAGCTCATCCAGAGTTCCAAGCAGGGCACAGGCACAGGATACTGAGGCATAACAGGCTTCAATGCCACCTTTTATGCAGGCTTCCGTCATCCCATCCAAGATTCTACAGTGTGAAGAAAGATAGCAATAGTACCTGGACTTATATATTGTTTTACCGTGCTTTACAGCCCTCTCTAAGCAGTTTACAAAGTCAGTCTATTGCCCCCAACAATTTGGGTCCTCCTATTACCCACCTCGGAGGGATGAAAGACTGAGTCAACCTTGAGCCTGGTGAGATTTGCACTGCCAAATTGCAGGCAGCCGGCAGTCAGCAGGCTGCAGTACTGCATTCTAACCATTGCACCACTGTGGCTCATAAGATAAGCCACTCTTCACTTTTATGCCTCCTAAAGTCAATTATACAATAGATAAAGAATTTATACCATAAAAAGGAAGGATGGCTTCATCTCTTTGGTGATGAGCTAGCATTTGATTAACCATGTGATTAATTAACAAAGGCATCCAACTGATAAAACAAATGCTTGCCTAATCAAGAAGTCATGGATGGTATTCCAAAAGCAAAATCCTGCTCTAATTAAGATTCCCCTCCCCCCTCTTGTCTCAGAATATCCATGATGCATACCTGCAGTATATTTTATAATTATTTAACAGATTCTAAGTCTTTTAGCTCTGCACACTCAATTGAAGAAGTCTATGCTAATTACAATTATAGAAAGTCTGTTGAATTAAACACAGTCAAAGAAGAACAAAATATTTGTTTCAAGCAATACAGTTATCAAACATTGTCAAATAATGAGATGCATACAGTTTAAGAAGGTCCAGGTGGGATTTTCTTTTTGAAATGGATCTCTTTCTTGATTCTGGTTCTGTAGAGCAGGGACCTGCTAAATCACAAAGCCGCCGAGGACTTCCAAGTATCTAAATACAATGCAGTTTAGCAATATCCAATAAATACATTTTTAAAGTCACTTTGAATTGGGCAGCATATAAATGTAATAAAGAAATAAACTTTTTCCAGTTAATCTTGAAATCAATTTGTCAAAAGTTATTCACGAATTCGTGCAAAGAATAACCATTGGCTTACCTGAAGGGTCGTTTTCAGTACGCTGCAAGGAGAGTCCAAGCATGGGTTAAACTCAGCCAATCTGTCCAGGATTGAATTGAAACTTTAGCCACACCTCTGGTGTTGCCTTGACTTGCCAGATTTTCAATGACGGCATGGAACTGTGCACATTGATAAGAAGTCCAAAGCGGTCCATAAACAACAGGTCCAAATAGTCTTTGAAAGTGGAGAAAGACCCCAGGGTGGGGTTGGACTCTCCTTGCAGCGTACTGAAAATGACCCTTCAGGTAAGCCAAATGCCATTTTCCAGTACGCTGCTTGGAGAGTCCAAGCATGGGACATACCCAAGCTAAATGTCACTAGGACGGGAAGCTGAAGAGTCCAGGGTCTCTCCACTGTTATGGATCCCCTGCAGAACTCGTCTTCCAAAAGCCCCCTCCGCAGAAGCGAACTTGTCCAATTTATAGTTCCAAATGAACGGAGATAAGGAAGTCCAAGTAGCAGCTCTGCAAATCTTTTCTATTGGTGCCTGGGTGGCCCAGGGCGCTGTGGTAGCTGCACTCCATGTAGAATGTGCGGTGATATGGTGTGGCACTGGTCTGGGTTGCAAGACGTAAGTGAGGGAGATGCACGCCTGCAGCCAACGACCAATGGTGGATGAAGAGATTTTACAACCTTGGGAAGCAGGCTGAAAAGAGACAAAAAGTGATTCAGAACGCTGAAAAATAGCCGTGCGCTTGATGTACTTGCGAAGAGTGCGGCAGACATCAAGCATGTGCCATCTTCTTTCCCTCGGGTATCTGGGATGAGGACAAAAGTCCCGCAGAATGACTGCCTGGGCACAGTGAAACCAGGAGTTGATCTTGAGAATAAACTTCAGATCCAGACGAAGGACCACTCTGTCAGGATGAATTAGATACAAGTCCTCCCTAACTGACAGAGCTGCCAACTCCGAGATTCGTTGCACAGATGTGATGGCAATTAAGAAAGCTGTCTTAAAGGTCAGATGCTTCAGGCTGGCGGAACGTAGAGGCTCAAAGGGCACAGATATCAGGGCCCATAACACTACCTCGAGTTCCCACGACGGGAACCTATGGACAACTGGTGGTCTAAGATTTGTGGCACCCTGCAGGAAGCTACGGATGACGGGGTGTCGTCCAAGTGATGAATGACTGTCACGCGCAAGCATTGTGCATAAGGCAGCCACCTGGCACCTGAGGGTGTTAGGTACTAGGCCCTGGTCAAGTCCATCTTGTAAATAGTCCAGAACCTGGGGAACAGTAGTTGCAGTTGGTGTTATCTCATGTGCAGCGCACCATCCTTCAAAGGATCTCCAGGTGGATTCATAAATTCTGGTCATAGCAGGTCTTCTGGACGCCTGAATGGTGTGTATGACTTTGATGGAAAAACTGCCCCTGCTCAGGAAGTCCCTCTCAAGTGCCAAATGGCTAGTTGTAGCCACTGGGGCTCTGGGTGTTGTAGAGCACCCTGGCTGAGAGAGACCTCATGCGGGGGAATTCGCCAAAGTGGATTGATGGATAGACTCACAAGATCGGCAAACCATGTTCTCCTGGGCCAGAAAGGAGCCACGAGTAGAACTTCTGCTCCCTCCTCCAGGATTTTACAAATCACTCTAGGTAGAAGGGGCAGTGGAGGAAATGAATATAGGAGGCCCGGCGACCAGGGGCAATGTAGGGAGTTGACCCCTTCTGCCTGCGGGTGGTAAAACCTTGTGAAGAACCTTGATAGGTGGCTGTTCTCTGGGGCGGCGAACAGATCGACTACCGGTAGGCCAAACCTCTGCGACAGATGACGGAACATGTCTGGGTGCAGGTGCCACTCTGAGTGGTCGACCGTGGCCCTGCTTAGCCAATCTGCTTGGATGTTGTTCACTCCAGATATGTGCTCCGTCTGAAGTGAGCACAGATGTCTTTTCGCCCACCTTCCCAGGAACTCGGCCTCCACCATCAGCAAACTGGATCGAGTGCCCCCCTGGCGGTTTATGTGTGCTTTTGCTGCCACATTGTCTGTGAGGATCATCACGTGGTGATCCTGGATGTCAGTCTGAAAGTGATGCAGAGCCAGCCTCGCCGCCCTCAACTCCAGCCAGTTGATGCTGTGCGTGAGCTCGGGTGCTGACCACCTGCCTTGTGCTATTTGGTTGTGAAGGTGAGTCCCCCAGCCGAACAGGCTGGTGTCCGTCGTGATGGTAAGATGGTCTGGCTCTCTGAAGAAGGAGCCCTTCGTTAGTGCGGAAGTCATCCACCAACCGAAGGACTGACATACTCGAAGGAAACTGGAATCAGCGCTGAATAATTGCTTTGTTTTGCCCTCTGGTGTGGCAAGAGGTGCCGACGAGAGTGAAGTCCTGCCCAAGGTACAATGGACAGACAGGATATCATTTTGCCCAACAGTTGGGACAGCTGTACAATTGGGACAAGTCGCGACTGGTGAACTTGGTGCACAAGGGCTCTGAGGCTTGTCATTCAGTCAGGAGACAGGAAGACCTGACAAGCAACTGTGTCTATGATGGTGCCGAGGTGCTGTAACCTGGTGGTCGGTTCCAGATGACTCTTTTCTAGGTTGACAGAGAATCCGTGGTCTCAAAGGGCTGTCATCATGTAATGCAGGTCTAACGTCGCTTGCTGGTAGGATGATGACTGGATGAGAATGTCAGCCATGTAGCATTGGAGGTGCACTGGGCACGATCTGAGGGAGGCTGCTACCGCTGCTAGGATCTTTGTGAAAGTTTTTGTGGCCGATGACAGGCCAAATGGCAGAGTCCTGTACTGGAAGTGCTGGCCTGCATAAAAAAACCTCAGAAACCTGCGGTGGGCCTTGTGGATGGGAACGTGTAGGTAAGTCTCCTTCAGATCTATGGACGTTAACAGGTCCCCTGGCCTGATACAGCCCAGGATGGATTGTAGGGACTGCATCTTGAATTTTTTGTACACTATGTGGTGGTTTAGCTTTTTTAGATCTAATATGCCCCTTCACCCACCCCACCCCAAATTCTTTGGGACAAGGAACAGGATGGAATAAAACCGTGTCCCCTCGTGACCGGGTGGAACTGGTTCTATGGCCCTGATCTCCCTGAGGTGTAGGATCTCCTGTTCCATGAGGGCAGGAGAGGGTTGGATACCAGATGAAGTGACGAGGTGGGGGCGAGATGAATTCCAGGGTCAGACCTATGCGGATGGTTTGGACCTATGCCACTGGTCTGATGTGGAGTGCTCCCATTGGATGTGGAACAGTTGAAGATGCTCGCCAATTGGAGCCCTCCACTGATGGTCACTTATAACGGCAGAAGGGTCTGGAAACAGACCACCCGCGGAAGGGCTGCTTGGAGAAGCTCTGCTGGCGGCCTCTGTCATGAAAGGACTGATGGTCCTGAGACCTGTCAGCATTATGGGGGTAGAGCCTCTGGTAGGTAACCAATGTGGAGGGCCGGTCCAAAGCCCGAAGGGGCTGCTTCCTATAAAAGGTGGATCCCTTACAATCAGATTTTTTGGACATAATCTTCTTTTTGTCCTTATTC